AGTGTGTTAAAACCACAATCCGTTGGGGCCGATGTCCAGTTCATCGAATTATTTGCCCTTCGGACGGGATCACACGTTCAAGGTGCCCAATACACCTTGATACCCAATCCAGCCTATGACCACTGCCACACCGAGGAGGATGTGGGTGAGTATGGTTCTTGGTTGGTTTTGAATCAGGGTTTTTGGTCAACTCCCCTAGGTGAACTACCAGTGGTTCACCCGGTTATAGTCCCGGATATCGGCTTTTCGTCCTCACACTTTGGTGGGAAAACACAGCCACAAAAAGGCAGTGAGCAGGTCTTCCTCAGCAGAGGCCATTAGAGACGCTTGGTCGTTTAGGAGCATTTCGCGAGGTGCAAAGGAAGGGTGACCAGCCACAACCCTAGACACCCACCCTCGACCATACTGAGGCTTTCGGACAAAGTTGTCACCGTGATGTGAAAAGTTCAATAGGAATGGAAAAGTACTCTAAGCCTACTGATATACGTAGGCAATTACAGGGAACAGCTCCGGGACGTTTGGTTTGCTTTCCATCAACTTCTCCACCAAATTACACTTCTGCATTCAAGTGGATGGAAAACGTGATTGACTGGAACCAGTGTAACTTTGCTGTGTGACCTTGGCGTTCAGACCTCGAAAACCGACTCAAGGTTACCTTTCATATTTAGAGACTGCTCATGCTCGATCTCTCTCGGTGTATTGGGGACTAATGGTTCCCTGTAACTCCATGCAAGTTCTCTCTAAAGGTCGTTTACTGCCAAAATTACAAAAATGTTCAATCGACATAAAATGAAGTTTTCGATTCACAGGCTGGTTCGATAATATTTAGTAATCTCAACGATTAAGCGGTTAAGGTCACCGACTTATCACCTCGGAATTCATGCGTCAGAACTCCCACCCATTTAAGTACATCTCATGTGGCTGTATTGCATGGTGGCCCTTTGATTGACCATTTCTCCCTTTCTGATAACCAATCAATACAGGGAAGTTCAAAGCGAGAACCTCAAATGCTCTATATAGGCACCATTCACGAAAACGGATAACCGAGCTTGACGATGTTGAACGGGTGCTTGATAAGTGTCTTAAATCACAGTTTTCCTATCTTACCCTTTATGATCATTTCTGATTAAAAACAAAAGAAATACATTGAACAGTATTCCTTGTTGCATCTTAATTGAGGATAGGGTTGAAAAAGAAACATTTGCATCACTGATTCTTTCATGAATTATAATTTGATCTGTACAGGTACATGCAATATTTTTATCCTTTTTCATGCCCGACAATCTGCGGTTTATATATCTGCCTAAAGCATAGCAACTGCTTGTACTCGGGGTGTGAATAAACTAACTGGATTGACTCACGCCTGGTTCCATTCGGAATTTAATTTTTCCGCATGCACTTTGATTTTTTTATTCATTCATCGTGTTTTATTTATTTTTGTTCTTTGCCTTGCCTTGTTACAGACACATTTGGTTTTCTTGCTAATCCGTAATTTGATTTGTCATTCATTATTGATGAGTTTCAACAATTCATTTTTTTCAATATATCCGGGACAGAATCCGACCTGGCCTACCGTCGTGTCACTTCGGTGTCCGGTGCGACTGGAAGGTCAAGTTACTCGGCCCATCGAGAACGGCTACGACAGGAACGGGAACAGGAATTGTTGATGAGACAGCAACAGAGTCAACGGCAACGCCTAATGGCCGCCTCGTCCACAGGATTGCATGAACAACACTCATTGCAACAACAATCAAGACATCAACAACAATATCGATCACTGTCTGCGGTTAATGTGAGCACCCCTAGCTAACTCAAATGTGTGATTTTTGGCAAAAATTACTTTTCCAAATTCGAACCAGTTCCATAGAAATGCCATACGGGAAATTGAACCGTAACCCGAACTTCAGACGGTGTTATATTTTTCATTTAACTCAGGGATAGTTAAAAGTTGTGGTGTGGGATATGAATCATTTTCGATTCTGGCTGCTCATACATCAATTTTTCATCTGTAATCACAAGGTTCAATTGGTCCCTACACGTTGACCCAAAACTAATAACGTTTTGTGCTTACTACACAATTTTCCATCAAGCTTTAGCCAAAACCCGCCATACTTTAGCTGTAACCTACTTTCCTTTGGCCAAAATCCACAAAAGTATACCACATTACCACCATCAGTTTATTCACGCTGCAGCATTTGATACCCCCTACGACGATCAGCTGCGCAGCATACGATCGCCACACCTTTTATTTCTGAACCAAGTTTTGCAGTATATATATATATATATTTGTAGAAAATAAAATTTTCCAACATTCGGTGACCTCACAATACCCCCATGCGTTTTCATCTGACTCACGTAGAGTGGGATGGCTAAATTTTGTGCATCGAGAGTGAAGGACTATGGGTTGGAGTTACACATTGCTGGTTTTGATTAAAGGAATATGGGTCAAGGTTAAAGGATTTCTGGTCTAGGCTAAACCATCGCGGGTTTTGGTTAAAGCTTGATGGGAAAATGTGTAAGGTGAACACGCCTTTCATTCCAGGAGTCTGGGGTTCCTACCGGAGCATCAGTGGAGGATGTGCCCTGTTGATGAGCCCTAATGAGAATAAACCTCGTGTGGATGGTTCACTGGCTGAACTCAGGATTTCGCCCGAAGATAGGATCAGATGCGTAGCTATTAGCGTATAAACATCTTGAGGTCTGATTACGTCCTCGTTCATTCACCCGAACCCCAAAACGATCCAGCTCCACTGCTTTTAGGTTAAAAATGCATGTAAAAGTTAACACTCAGGAAACTCTAATTTAATGCCGCATTCAAAGTTTAAATTTGATGAAGTTTGTGCTGCTTTAGCAAAAACTCTTTACTTCTGGATATTCACTTCGCCTCGTCCTATGCTTAAAGACAAATTTCTACTCCTAATTGTATCCGTATTATATAATCCGTAACTCTCTCTATTCAGTTCGCCTGACTGGGTTGAGTACCAAGTAGCAAGATATTGTCACTCACTTGCAACCACTCTTAGACTGGTTTCGGAACGATCTGTCTGTCTATTTGTCTGCATCTTGTGACCGGTAAATGTGCCTATCACAGATTGACTGTTTCACAACCATTTTTAGGTTAATAAAATTTGCTCCGCTATATCACAACATCTAAGATTGACTGTTCCTATTCGTATTTTGGTCTGTCAAAAACGTACACTAACACAGAAGCAATCGGTCGTTTCACGTCAGTCGTAAATCTCTCGTGGATGATCGATCGAACGTCTTTGGAGCGTATGCCATTTCCCCATCACTGTTGAGCGATTCAGTTTATTTCCCCAATATTTACTTGGGTGATACAATTAACGGAAGGTGATATTCGGGCAAATAGCCTCGATTCATCTCTGTTTTCCATCCCTGTTCACACGCACTTTCACTTCTCAATTTGAAAGAAAAATGATCGCATTACACATTCATTCCAAACGGTACCCATTTGGATTTCCCAATAGTCTGGGATTCCTGTCCAAAATCGAGCAACATGGGATGTGGCTGATCCAACTCTGCCCGATTGAGTGGTGTGTGTGTGTGTGTGCTTGTTCCCATTTGACTTTATCTAATTGGCCCCAATTGCGGCAGCCTTATTCGGGACTAACGCACCAAAATGCATCAAAGAAATTGCCATGACTGTCAACGTTTCCGTGACATGTGTGTGCTCCTATGCGTGTGAAAGTGTTCGTGTGCGTGTTCTCGTGATCGACTGTCAAGACTTACCAACCTGCAGCCAAATGAATATCGTGCTTGGCGTGTGTACGCGATTGTTGTGTAATGCACAGTGCAAAGTATGAGAGATTGATTGTGCTCAGCACGCATCTGCTGATTCGATCCACATCTAGGCGGATTGACAGATATGTGTGACGTGAGCGCTAAAATCACATGATAGAATGACTATTTAATACAAAAAAGACTGATGTGTTTTAAGGTACCGTTCCGATCAACCGACTTTTGTGTTACAATGGTAAGCGTTCCATTTTTATGGATTTGGAAGGTTTTGAACTACTATTATGAACCTGAGCATGATTATTCCAATCGTTTGAACCTACAAAATATTTCTATTAAAATTTATGTGAACATGCAATGAACGCAAAAATTACAAGAACATCAAAGTTACCTTATGTGGCTTTGAACATCAGAACATCAGAATGGCTATTTATTGTCCAATGAACATAGGAACCACGAAAAATCATTAAAAGTGATATTATTGAACAACTGAGTTCGTTTATAACTGAATGTCAGTTACGAGTGTGACAAAACGTTATGGACAGCACTCTCCTACTATCAATTCCTTCACCTCCTTCCAATCCTTTTCACTTCATAACATCAATATACCTTCTCCACATGCTGTTAAAAAGATTTTGTGCAAGTTGCAGTACCAATATTTTTTCACCCTGCCTTCTGGGTGACGACCCTGAGTGAAACATAGGTTTTTGGCATTTCAATATGCTCACCTGGCTAACGATTCCCAGAGGTCTTCAGATGGGCTGAGATAAAAACTGCAACTGGGAAACTCCAAGAATCGGGGTATACGGAAAATAAGCCACCTCTTTATGATGCATGAGGTGGATTTGTGGCGGTATCGTATTGAAAAAAGTGCTATTCTACTGGTTTTCCATGTGATAAACGAGAACAGTGCTTTCACATATAGGTCATTTCATTTTGATAACCGTCGTCGGTTGCCATCTGACTCAAACCAGATGTAAAAGGCGTGTCCTGGCCATCACTGATCGTTTACCACCATGCTGCCTATGAAACACGATTGCTTCTCTACTAGTGTCAAGCCAATGGTGACGGAACGTATCCGATTAGATCAGGTCTTACTTTTTCTAGCCAACAAATGTCCCTGCCAAGTAAAAAGGGCACTCAGCCCGACTTTCAGCCTAGCACTGTACTGCATTGAATCGAAACGTTAGCGAGTGATATATAGACTTTCGGTCGAAAAGAAGTCAGTCACAATGCTGACAAAAAATGGGGAAAGGAGGACATCGAGCGTGTATAAATGCGAATTAACTACTATTGTATTAAAAAGCTCAGAACGAATACTCTCCTTGACAGTCAGTGTCCGGGCAAGCTAGGGTACCAAAGGGTTTCTGTAGGCAGATATCCAATATGGGGTACGCTTGTATTTGAAACCAGTGGAAGGGTTGGGATTGTATTCACACCAAGTCCACGTGTACAGAATGGGCGTGATCAGATCGAATTTTGTCAACAAAACTTTAGACTATCACAGATATTATTTATCAGAATAGAAAACGGAACTTGAGGAAACTGGCTTAGCATGGTGAGACCACGCCTCAGCAAACCAAGGGACAACACCGGGGAACAGTGAAGGGGTATAGGGAAAACGCATTGTTCAAAAAAAGCTCCTATCAACCAATCAAAATAGAAGCGATGCAATCTTGTCCATGTGAAAAGAGATAAGTTTCGGCTCAAGAACAACAGAAAAGAGCAGCGAAGGTTACTTTAAAGGGTGACTCCTAAGTAATTCGCATGGCAGACCCTACTCATTGAATTTCCGTGAATCTATACATTGTTGAAGAAAGACTGGGAACGTTTTAAAGTAAAAGTACATTCAAGGCGTTTCTCAATATTTAAGATTAAGACAGACTAAACTGGAATACGTAACGAGGTGGGGTAATTTTATATTATATGCTGTCAGTTCCAGCTGGTAAGATACAGAAACAAAAATGGCGATATAGTCAGCGTACATAAAATGCTTTGCAGTGGGGGTGATAGGTAAGTCACTGATATGTATAAGTCGCAAAAAGATAGGGTGATAAGACAGCACGTTGAAGTACACCAGAACTACTGAGTTAAGTCACTGACTATCTTCCTCCCAATTTAACATATGTATATCGTTGGGAAAAGTAAACATCAAGCCATTCGACCCACCAAACGATCGAAGCTTGTTCAGTAAAAGAGGGGCACCGAGTCAAAAGATAGATAGTAATTAAGAAATGCACAGTACGCATATTTAGAGACTTGCAAACGAAGTGAACTAGTGAAGATACAGCATCCAATGTGGATCGGTTATGCTTTTAAGCAAACGAATAAATATAATCGGAGACAGTGAGAGATAACAGGTGATATAGAAACGAGCGCTCCATCTATTTCAAATCATTACAAGCAAGAGTAATTTACCCCAAACGTTTCGCAATTGCGGATTGTGTTGTTCCTTTGGGGATCGGTATATTCTCACGGAACACCAGCACTTCGGAAAGGTTTGAGGTTCTATTGAACCACTACACATATTTGCAAACATGTGGGACAATGGTTTAGCACTGTGCTTAAGAAGTGTGAGTCCTAATTCGATGCCGATTCAAAAGCACCACAAATCTCATCTTCTCGTATGTTGGTTACGTAATTCATAGAACTGCTCGTTGTACAGATAAAGGTAAAATCAGCGATCCAAGTTTTATTTTCACTGATTACTTTCATGATGGATTGCGGACGTCACACATTCGTTTTCATTTGGATTTTGTTTACATCAGTGGAAATGCACACCGTGACTTTTGCTCAAATTTACGGTTATCTGGGGTGGTTATCACACATAAGTGTACTCCGGCGGTAAACATCGACGTGTTGCGTTCTGTACAACCGTTCGTATGTTTCCTGCTCCAGTAAGAAGCCACCGTCAAAGTGATGAATGTGAACAACGCGCCAGGTTTCAGTATGAGAGGCCATCGGTTAACATTGGTTTGGATAAGATCGCGCTCTTTCTGATGTCATCATCCCACACTACAAAGGTTAATTTGCATATATATATATATACCAGGCCAATGATATACAAATATATTTTTGAGGTGTGCAGATCAACGATGAACGAAAACCCATCCATCACAGTAGAATTGCATCATCTCAGCTCTGTATAATGTTAGTGTTAAATCGTTGTGAATATTTAAAGCCTTCATCAGCTTGGATTTAACAAATAACAGTACGATCAGTTGTGTCGGGAAGATGAAGGCGGCCAGTCCAATGTGGGGGTGCGAAATGAGGTAGCGGGCTAGAGGGATGAGATACTGACAAATGGCTACCCCCTCAGCATGTTTTAGGCTTGCCTATTGAAAAAAGCCTTCACTATGATCTCATCGCTTGATTGTGTTCTTTGTTTGTTTTATTCTCTCGACCTTAGAAACGAAGCAATAATCTTCAACTGATAATCTACCAACTGGCTTGTCTTGTTTTACGCCGCATGCTGGTTGGCTTGACACGTTCCCACGGTCATGCTCAGTTTCCGCTTGAGCCAACCTCGACTGTTGGTCGACACACTGTTTTCGCGCTACAGGAGAGAAGGGAGCGGTGAAGAGAAGGGGTAGACGGTTTTTGGTTGCATCTTACTGACTGGGCCTGTATGCTGCGTCATGAATAAGACGCAAGCAGTGTACCACATAAATTTAGTCGTGCATCAGATGATCGCTTTTGGTGCCTCAAACCCAAATGCGCTACGCAATAAAACTTTGAT